TCTATTTCCTAGGAAAGAGTTGTAAAATTTATTTGGTTTCTGATAAATAATTTGTTGAGAGCATAGTAGTGGTACCTGACCTACCGAGCGACGCCACTGCTGGTTCCCATAAGTTGCTTTGTTTCCCATCAGTGAATTCCAAATTGAAAAGAATCCCACATTGGTAACTTAATAGGGAGAGAATGCTTGAGTCTATTATAAAAGGCAGGGGTTCTAACCGAGGCACATCAATTCTGGTTGAAAACTATTTTCAACTCGAGCTCAGAATTGAACTTGAATCGAGCTTGAATCGAGCCTTGAATCGAGCTTCAATTGAGCTCTTAAATTTTTGTTGAGTTCTAAAATTTTTGAGTTCGAGTCGAGTTTCAATATTATATTTCGAGTTCGAGTTGAGTTTGATAGTTTTAAGTTCGCGAATTTTTGAGTCAAGTCGAGCTAATTTTGAAAGTTTTCGAGTTTGAGTCGAGCTTAGCAATACTCGAGCTCGACTCGGCTCGTTTACACCCTTACTTGATACTTTCTTTATTGATAATCTCGAGGAGCGCTTGATTCACATAAAAAAATCATTATCAAGGAGAATAATCTTTATTGATAACCCACGTTTGGTAGAAGAGTGTTCTTTAAAGTAATGTTTTTTGGGTGCTTTCCTAGGAATGCTATTCCTCTCCCTCTCTTATTTATTTAACAATTCCCATCAACTTAGACAAAAATACCTTTAAAACAAAATAAATATTTTAAAAGCATCATTCCCTTTATTCCTTAAATTAGCGGTTAATTTATCAGTTTTAATCGAATTAGTTCGGTTAAAACAGTTGACTACCGAATTAGTTCGGTTAAAACAGTTGACTACCGAATTAGTTCGTTCGAAAAACTATTAATTTTTTCAAAATTCGATTAACGGTTAAATAAACAAATTAACGAAAAATATTAAGTATTATGTTATATATATATATATATATATATATATATATATATATATATATATATATATATATATATATATATATATAATCGATTAAATAACATGTAACATCCTAAAATACGGGTTAGTGACTAAATCATAAAACTTCAGAGTTTGGTGATTTAAGTAGGATATTTGTATAGTCCAATGATTTGTTCGGAAATATTTCCTGAAAGTTATTAGTAATTATCAAAGGAATTAAAGGGCAAAATGGTCATTTAGCATGAAAGATATTTTTCCCCAATAATATGAATGAATCACGTGGGGGTGGGGGAAAGAGTTATCTGAAAACTCTTTCTTCTTCCTTCCTTCTTCTCCCAACCGTGGAAGCTAGGCAAAGGTAAGGGTTTTCTGATTTGTTGGTTATTTGTTAAATTAAAGGTTAGGTTTTGATCATTAGATGATAACTAAGCTTAAGGAAAGCTGAAGTTATCTTATAATCAAAAGATGAAGAAGTTATAAGAGATTTAAGAAAATGAGTTTTTATATGAAATCATGGAAAAGAGTTGATAAGTTGAATTTGAAGTTAAATTTGACTTGTCATCATGCTAATTAAGGAATATGAAGTGTTAGAATTGTATTTAGAACATATTGAAATTTGAGTATGATTCTTGAATTATATATGAAGGATAGGATTTTGAAGTTATAGATGATTTTCATGGATATAAGTTGGTTTAAGTAATGGTAGTTGAGTTTAATGACATGATAGGGGTTTAAAATAGAAGAATTAAGTGAAGAATTGATGATTTTCGGGGTTAGAATACAATTTCTGGGTAGAGGGAACCGATACCCTATGAATGGGAATCGATTCCCCCTCTTGGACGAAAATTTCCAGAATGTCCAGGGGGTATCGATTCCCCCTAATGAAAAAATGGAATTTTATTCATTAAACCGGTTTAAGTTATTAACATCAAGTTTAAAGTTTAGGCTTCTGATAATTATTTTGAAATGATATATTTATGTAGATATTGAGCCTAAACAAATTCTGGAATAATCAAAGGATTATAATCAAATCAAAGCAAGGCTAAGGTGAGTGCAATTTTAATTGTACTTATATTATTGAACATTGGCTTGCGATGAGCTAGTGATGGAGTTACTATGGTAAAAAGTGACTCTTAAAATGTTAATTGATTTGTGATTCTTATATATGCATGAATACATGAAATGGGTATAGGTTATTATATATGTTATATGATATGCATAGACATAAGAGCATGAAACATAAGATATATGATATGATATACATGATTATATGCATATGTGATATATGCTATGAGACATGATCAATGTGAAATGAGATAAGTTATGTGAATATATGAAATGATATATGAACGTGATACATGTGATATGATATGAAATACATGGTTACACATACATGTGGTATGTGACAGAAAAGAAAGAACAAGTGATGAGAAAAGTATTTATCGTAAATGCCCATAGTATATGATACGAGAGCTATAGGTATAGTTGGCATGCCAAGAGTTGAGGGTATTGTAGTCCTTCGGGACGTAGTGGTCCTACGGGACATATATAGCAGTCCTTCGGGACGAATACTGAACAAATGTTCGGTGCCCCATGAGGGAATTTATACGAGCTGTGGTGACAGCATTGGTGCACAACCTCAATGTACTCACATACCTCTATTCTCAATAATATATGTGGGCAACAACAACAGCAATTAAAATATAAATTAAAGTGAAAGTGATGCAAAAAGGTAAGTTTCATGTGTGCATGACTTGGTTATATATGTCATAGGAAATATATCCATGCATATTGAAATATCATGATCAAATGGTAAGAATGCATATTCACGAATCTATTGTTACATGTTTATTTATTGCCTCACTAAGTCTATGACTTAGCGTGTAAGTGATTTACACGTAGGTACCAAGAAACGTGAAGAGCAAGAATAAGTGGCAAGGACAGTATTATTACTAGAAGATCAGATCAGAAGTAATCGACAAAGTATGTATTTTGTTGTGTATAGAGTGTTGGCATGTAATAAGTCGTTAATTATGAGCACTCTGATCGAGTTTGTATTTTGTAGTCTCTTCTATGTAAATTAAAGTATTTTGTTTTAAACAAAGTTTTAAATTTCCCGGGGATTTTCTTTAAGTGTCAAGGTTTTAAAAGTCAATGTGACACCTCGGACTCGTATTTGGGTCGGGTACGGGTTGGGGTGTTACAAAACAAATTAACGAAAAATATTAAATATTGTGTTATATATATAATAAATACATATTTTAAACTCAAATCTATTAAAAATTAACTCAATTATTTTTTAACCACACTATACCCATTATAATATCAAGACATAATTAAACTTTAACCCAGATAAAAAAACACCTCTATTACATTTAAATTAATCTAATTAAAAAATATAAAAAAATCAGTTAATTCAATGACCGACCGAATTAACTGAACTTTATTCGATTCGGTTAATATTTTCAAAAAGAATTTTATTCGGTTAACGATTAGAGAAAAAAGTTTGATTAGTTCGATTAATGGAAATTCGGTTCGGTCGGTTTTGACAGATGTCATTTTACTGTCAAATAAATTCATTATTCTCAAAATAAATATGAAAGGGAAAAGCTTAGTAAAGAGAAGTAAAGGTTGATCAACAAGGACTTAGAAAATTACTTATAAATTGATACTAAGTATTATAGATTTGAATTAGATGAGAAGTTTTTTTCTCTCCAAATCCTCTTGTATTCTTCTATTTTCTATATTAGTAAAACTTCTCCTCTTTTACCTACGATTTTTCTCGAAAGAGTTTTCCACATAAAATCTTAGTGTCTATTTTATTGTGTAATCACTATGCATATCATTATCTTCTAACATGAGATATCCTAGAACTGATCTCATAACCCTACTAACATAATACAATAATTTTAATTTCTAATCAACCTATCATTAACTAGAAATTAATTATTTAGATATCTTCAAACTACACATATGTATGACTCATACTTTATTTAATTATTGAAATGTAATTAACCTTAAATATACTATACTACTTTAATAGTAACTACCCTCTTTAATGAATAGAGGATTTAACTTAGACTAATCAATCTTACCCTGAGCCATTACATTCTAATTATAATAATGGTAAAATCTCCCTTGGGGTACCCATGAAGACTTTGCATTCTCTATGGCCAACCTGCGCAAGCTTTGCTAATCTCTCGGCAATCGTGTTACCTTCCCGCAAGATGTGATTAATTGAAACCATCCGATTCGATCCTTTTTAATAGTTTGGTGATACGATCTAGGAGTGTAAAAGATGAGTCTCGAGGTTGTCAGAGTGGCAACAGTCTAACGACCTCTAAGTTATCTATTTCAAGAACAATTTTCTTTTCCCCTAAACGTCATGCTTGTTGAAGCCCTTCAAGAACTCCCCATACTTCAGCTTCAATCATGGAACATACACCCAGGAATTTGAAAAACCCGACCACCCAAGCACCGGAGCTCATGTGTTCCCCCGCATAACGTAAAACCTTCGTTGTTATTCCTTTTATAATAGTAAATAACATACAATTAATTATTTACTATACATGTCATATCCATATAATCTAACATATTATTGTTTAGACCTTTCGTATGTCAAACAGCTTGCATATCTAGGACTGGTATCATACGGCCAGGGCCATGACTGGAAGGAAGAACACACGAGGCTGCTCATGAGTTACCCTATCCATATCCTTTCAAAGACAGCAGAGAGTTTATCGAAAAAGAATGGAAGAAATTGAAGATTCAAGCCACGATTGTAGATGTAAGAAAAAGGAATCATGGAACGGTGAAAAATTACAAAAAATTACAATGCGATTTTCAAATTTCTTATTGATTTGTTTTTTTTAACCACTAAGCCAACTAATTGTTGATAAGTTCTTATTGATTTTACTTGTTAGTTTGCATAAAATATTTAGACGTCCTTCGGACTTTTTCATGTCGCTAACATAATATAAAGTCAGCAATCAAAGGGTTAATTACTAGATTTATATTAATTTTATCTATGTTTAGCAAATCAGCTGCATCAAGAATATTGTGGACTATATCAAGTTTATAAATTTATTTAATATTTCTCTTCCAAGTTTACAGTAAAGTAAAACATGCATGAAGTCGAAGAACCAAAAATACCAAATGACTATTGATCTATTGAGAACGCCAGGCCGATTTCTTCAATTAGACCATTCAATTCAGAGTGAGAAGACCCTCCTTTTTCAAAAGCCTTTTTTGCGGCTTCAGCCAGTGCTTTGGCTCTGTTTCTCATTTCCTCTGCTTTATCACCCTTCATCAACTCCTTCACTGCCCTTTCAATGGCTTCCATTTTCACAAAATCTCCCACTAGCCTCACCCATTTCTGAGCACCAACAGCAACTCCAATCTTCAAGACTTGAGTCACCAACTTTTCATTGTAGAACTGCTCTGCAAATGTTGGCCAGGTGACCATAGGCACACCAGCACACACACTTTCCAAGGTCGAATTCCATCCACAATGAGTCACGAATCCCCCGACCGCTACATGATCAAGAATCAACACTTGGGGTGCCCATCCTCTTATTATAAGCCCTTTGCCTTCACTTCTCTTCTCAAATCCTTCAGGCAACCAGTCATTGTCTTCTTCATTGTTCTTTTGTTTCCTCACAACCCAAACGAACTGCAACTCTGATGCCTCGAGGGCCATGGCGATCTCCTTTAATTGAGCAGAGGTGAAGCAGGTCATACTCCCAAAACATATGTAAAGAACTGAGTTGGGTTCTTTGGAGTCAAGCCACTTCAAAAACTCGTGTTCATCAATGGCTGATTTCTTTCCCCTCTCAGCTTTATCTATGTTTTCCCTATTGCAGAGAGAAAGAGGGCCGATATGCCATGCCTTTTTCCCCAATACATTCCTAAAGTAATCAGCGTACGGTGCCTCGAGCTCGTAAAAACTGTTGACAACTACACCGTAGCTTTTGAGCTCAGCTTCCCTGGCTGCTTTCGCTATCTTGCTAAAATCAGTTTCAACATCTTGTTTTAAGGAATCTGGCAGTTGGCTTTTGGTTAACTCGATGTCGCCGGGAAGGTTAGGCACCACAAAAGGCTCGGAATCGGACTGAACCTTTTTGTGTGGCTCGTATATCCTCATGCATTCCATTACACACAGTGAAATGTAACTAGTTCCTTGAAACACCAACCTTGGAATCCCGAACTTGTTTGCTGCATCAGTGGCCCAAGGGAAAAACAAATCAGCAACCAAACAATCCGGTTTGAATTCTCGTAACAGTTTTTCGAACGGTTCTTGAAGCAATTGCACGGCCTGCATGAATTTCATCATCGTTTCGAAATTTTCATCCGGGGAAGTAGGGAGCAGGTCTGTGCTTTCACACCCTTCAGGCAACCCAACATCAGCTGCCGGAAACTTAAGAAGCTCGACGGCGATATGGATACCGGATTCCCTGCTTCTCTGGATTGTGTTGGAGAAGAAAGAAGCATTGACAGGAGTGGTGACTATCGTTGTCTTCACTCCTCGACTTGCAAACAGCTTGGCCATGTCCACCGTAGGGATAATGTGACCGTGAGCAAAGAATGGGAAGAAGAACATATGAATTTCTCTACCCATATTCCCTGGAAAGAAAAGAGACTCGAGTGTTCACTGGTTGGACTGAAGAGTGAAAAAAATCTGGGATTGTTTGAAACTTTACGATGATTCAGGATTTTTATGGAGGAAATTAACTACTTTTCTGGGTTATGACTTATGACATATGATACCATAGACGTCCTTGCATTCGTCATCTCCTCGCCAAGAAGGGAATGATTAATCGAATTTGAATACGGAACAGAACAACAAATCAACACGGCGAGAATTGTTGTCTAGAGCTGTAATAAGCTCATACGTCATACTTCTAGAGGATGTAATATCCGAGTTATAAAGGTCAAAGAAACCACAATTAAAGTAAGTCGCTGGCGCATTTTTTAAGAGTAAATTACACGTCTAGTGCCCCATATATTACTTTTGTTCTATTCAATCACATAATTATTTTTTGTTTTAAAATTGTATTTAACGTCGTGTTTTGATTTTATTTTAGTCACCCACCATTAAAAGATTAACAATGATATTGACGTGTCACCATAAGATAATGTCACATCATCACTAATTTTTTTTAAAATGTCACATCAGCAGTTTTATTAGTTTTTTTAACGGTGGATGATCAAAATAAAATCAAAACGTAACTTTAAGTATAATTTTGAAAAAAGTAATAGTTAGGTGACTAAAATAGAATAAAAATGATAGTTGTGGTACTAAACATAAAGTTTTCCCTTTCTTGAAAAAGTTACAATAATTTTATATTTCGTTTTTATTTTAATCACTCTCAGTTAGATTTGATTGTTGAATTAACATAAATAATAATATAGTATGATACAATAGTTACATATTTAATCTCTAAAACTTGCATACTCTATTAAATTAGACTTAATTTAAATAATAATATAGTATGATACAATAGTTATATTTAATCTCCAAAACTTGCATACTCTATGAAATTAGACTTAATTTAAAATAATTCAACTATTATTGAATTATTATCCAATTAAGAAATTATCTAATCATTAAATTATTATTGAATAGGGTAGGGAAATTGGTTCATAGTTTTAGGGATATGGGTTTGGAGAATCGAGCAATGGCAAATATGATGGTGTATGGGGCACGAGGAGGAGTCACAGGAATCTGGCATTGGTCATATGATGTTGGCTGCCATTGAAACTCTGTTCCATTATCGTTTTGTTGTGAGATCTCATAGTTATAGTAGTGTCGGTGATTATAGTGGTTTTTCCATGGCTTTGGAAGGGGTTTTGATTGCTTATTTGTATTCTAATTTTATTGTTCTTGATTTTGTCGTGAGTTCCATGTTCTTCAAGAGCTGCAAAACTAAGAGCCTTTTTGGATCAAGGAATTTAGCATTCCCAGCAGGTATATTTGTTTCATGATGAAGGATACCCATGTTTGATTGGGGTATGATTCCCAAGTGAGGGTAATGTTATAATACCAATAGTAATTTTTGGGGTTTTATTCTTGGGAATGTTATTCCCGTATGTGTCTTAGGTTTTATTTTATTCCCGTGCTAAGGGCTAAAATACCCCTCTTTTCCAGTTTGCCTCTGCGCGATATCTTCTTCTCCCCGTGCTGCAAAAAATTCATCATCCCTGGTAAGATTTCTTCTCCATTCCCTTTCTTCTCCCCGCTAACATATGTTTCTGGGTAAACCGAGATTATTTATTTTAATACTATTCCCTTAAACCCTCCATTGTCGCTCTCTTACCCAGTCAAATACCCGATTCTTCAGCTCTTCCCTTCTCCTCTTCTTCTGTTCAAAACCCTAGAAATTCTCTCCCTAGTGTAACATCCTCAATACCGGGTTAGTGACCAAATTGTAAAGTTTCAGAATTTGGTGACTAAAGTAGAAGAATGAAATAGTTCAATGACTATTGGATATATATATGATGAAGGTTATTTAGTAATTATTAAAGGAAATTAAGGGTTAAATGGTCATTTGACCAGAAAGATTTTTATATTCCTTTTAAAGGTAATATAAACGTGGGAAATGAGAGAAACATCCAGAGTTCTCTTCTCCTTTCTTCTTCTTCATACGTGGGAGAGCAAGGCAAAGGTAAGTTTAATTTCAGTTGGTTAATTCTTGAGTTTTAAGCTTAGTTTTGATTCTTTGGGTATTAAATAAGCTTAAGGAAAGCTTATATGGGATTTAAACAATAAGATAAAGGAATTATGAAGGAATTTGCAATATGAGTTTTAAGATGAAATTTTGATATGGTATGGTTGTTGAAGTTTTATAGATGAATTTGACTTGTCATCAATCTAATTAAGAAGTATGAAGTGTTAGAATTGGAATTAGAACACATTGAAAATTTGGTATGATTCTTGAATCTCATATAGAAGATAGAATTTTGAGGTTTAAGATGAAATAAATGAATATAGATTGGTTTAAGTATGTGTACTAGATTTAAGAATGAAAAGGGGATGATATATGAAGTGTTTGAGAGGAAATGAAGTAATTTTCGGGTTGAAAATATGATTTCTGGGCAAGGGGAATCGGTACCCATTCAAGGGGAACCGATACCCCTTCAAACGAACAACATTTCCAGAATGTCATTAGGGAATCGATACCCCCATAGTAGGGAACCGATTCCCCCTAAAGGAAAAATGGGAATATTGGTTTAATAAGTTCGTTTAAGTTGCTAGTATCTAATTAAAAGGTGTAGGTATCTAATGATTGCCTCAAAATGTACATTTATGTAGATTCTGCGCTAAAGCAATTCCGGAACGTTTGGCAAGTAAGATCGATCAAGGGGAAAGATAAGAGATTGGAATTTGACTAGTGAGGCCAGGTGAGTGCATATTCAATAGTATATGATGTACGATGGGAATAAGACTTGCGATGAGTCTAATTCCTTAAGTGTTACACATGAATGCATGATTAAAGGCATGAGTTGAATATGCATGTATGTATGCTTGATTATATGGATTGATTTGTTCTTTTATGTGTTAGGTGATAAAGTATAAGTGATTACATAAGAAAGGTTATGAATGATATGAGATATAAACTATGTGATCATAGTAAAATATAATTATATTATTAAATGATAAGTGAAATAAGCTAGATAATATTGATCTATAGGATAATGTGAGAATAGTACACTAACTAGGAGATTTGAACATAAATGATAAGATGATCATATAAGATAAGCTAGATGGGAAAGATTCATATGTTTAAATAAAACTATAACACATGGGTTGTATGATAGAAATTTATGAAGCTATATGAGAAGATTATAAGAGTTATATGAAATTGAATTAAGTAAACAGATTAGATTATATATATATATAAAGAAATAATAGAAGTGAGATATGTTTATAAGTCTGCCCTAGATGAATATGAATATGAATTATAAGAGTGCTATATGATTTATATTAGGATAAATCTTGAGGATATATATATATATAGATAGATATGAAATGCAATGAAATGAGTTATATGAATACATAATTATGTGATGAAATGGTGGATTACCTGAACATGTGAATATATATGTCTAAGAGAAGGCATAAGATTAAGATATAAGCAATGTGACTATAAGTATATGTGCTCTAAGTGATATGACTTATAGGTATTTCTATTATAATGTTACATGATATGTTATGTATGTTAAATGAATTATGTGAGGGTATAAGAAATGATATGAAATATATATGTGAAAACAAGTATATGTTATGAGATAAGACCTATGACTATAAGCTACGTGAAGGTGTTTCTATATGTTATATGAAGTATATGATCTTATGTGAACAAGATATGATAAGTATGTTTACATGAATAAATGTGATTGGGTGAGAAATGATAGAAATTATATGATAACATGATATATGTGACATGTGAATTATATAGAAATGATCTACGTGTAAGTGAACTACGTGACTATGTGATGATATGAAAAGAAGCTATGTGATACGTGATATGTGATACGTGAATTACAAGTTTATGTGAATATTTGAAATGAAATAAATAATAACGCCCATGTTATGTGTCATGAGAGCTAGGGGTATAGTTGGCATGCCAAGAGTCGAGGGTCTACGCGGTCCTTCGGGACATATGTATATTCTTTGGAACATGTGTGAAGTCTTGAAAGACACATACTTGATCCCTAGTATATGTATATGATTCTTAAGGAATTCTATGTGGTCCTTATGGACATCATTATATGGCACTACGGTGCAATTCTACGCGGTCCTTCGGGACATATGTATATTCTTTGGAACATGTGTGAAGTCTTGAAAGACACATACTTGATCCTTAGCATATGTATATGATTCTTAAGGAATTCTATGTGGTCCTTATGGACATTATTATATGGCACTACGGTGCAATTCTACGCGGTCCTTCGGGACATATGTATATTCTTTGGAACATGTGTGAAGTCTGGAAAGACACATACTTGATCCCTAGCATATGTATATGATTCTTAAGGAATTCTATGTGGTCCTTATGGACATCATTATATGGCACTACGGTGCAATTCTACGCGGCACTTCGGTGCAATTATACGAGCTGTGGTGACAGCATTAGTGCACAACCTCTATAGACTCACATATCGATAGTTCTCACATATGTACATGGGCTAATCCAGAGATATGAACAAATATATGTTAGTGGTATGATAAATGCTATAGAAATGATATGATGTTGTGTGTGTATAGAGTTTGATTGAAAAAGTATGTGATTACATGATAAACTGTTAATGATGAATTATGTGTATGTATGGATTTACTGTAATTAATCTGATATGATTTTATACGATATGAAAAATGCATGGAATTGCTATAACATGATAGAACAGAACATGCATGTATTGATATATGTTATAAAGTGCATTATAAGTTGTTATGCCTCACTAAGTCTTCGACTTAGCGTGTGATTGTTTCACACGTAGGTTTCGAGAAGAGTAAAGAGTAATGCGGAGCAAGACAGGTCAGTTTTCCTTACAAAAGATCAGATCAGAAATATTTGACAAAGTATGTATTTGGTTATGTATAAAGCATTGACATGTAATAAGTCATTAAGTACAAGCACTCTGATAAAGTCTGTATTTTGTTTTAAATAAAGTTTTAAATTTCCCGGGATT